AAATTACTATAACGATAAGGAGTATTTGTAATGCTTGTGCACGATCTCGATCACTATCCAATCACATTGAGAGAGTTGCTCGAGAACACCCTTAGTCTTGTCATGCTAACTATCTGCTCATAGTAGATTCTGCAGCAATTACTAATGTTATCGGTCAAGCGGTTAGTACGATCAGTCAAAATTTGTAACTGCTAGCATCTCTAGTTTCGTTTATGATTCCAAATGTACAGAAATTATTACAAATAGAAGATAAACTATTGCAATACATTAATACATTTGCAAAAGTAGATTGTCAATATACCATTATACAATTCTCTAATTTTATAAAGATGTTAATTGTTTATATAGTATTACCAAGGATATTCCGAAGAATTATATGCTCTCACTCTAGATTTGTCAGAAGTATAATTTCTTTTATTGATTTTGCATATGAACATGTGAGAACGACAGTTACTAATTGTTAAGAGATGAGTAAAACTCCTATAAATTATTGACTAATATGTTATTCTGGTAATAGCAAGATCCGTTTATGAGAAATGAAGTTAAATCTGCTTATAATACAAAATTTACTGAAAGTTGATTTCATGGTAATGTCTGGAGAATCATCAACATTGACTTCTCTGATCCACCTTTCGTATTTTTTGTCAGGTGAATAAACAAGTATCATATATTAATTCATATATATCTAACTTACTTTTTTTCAAAACAACTATGTAGATGAGAAAAGGCTAGGTTTGCAAACTCAAAAGAATTGTAGAAGAAAATTAAGCAATATACGTAAAATATAACTGTAGTGATGCAGATAGATTAACGTTAATGAGATAGAGCAAATTCTTAATCACTCTACGATGCAACGTAATACCCCAGAAGGATTATTACGACAAATTTTTTTTTATAATGCTACTTTGCAGGAGTGAATATTAAGATTTTAAAATAGAACTTTTGTAAAATTTGTGAAAAAAAAAGGTCGAATGTTCGCTAAAGATTGATTGAATAGACAGCTTCATAAAGTGGCCTTAGGATTAGGTGGAAGAATAAACAATGAAACACTAAACTGATAAAAAAACGTGGTATTAATTTATCAAAAACCTTAAAGGATATCTTTATAGATCTTGTCACTAAAATAAACTTTTGTGAAGATAAAATACGTAAAATTAGGCGGCGTGCATCGTGTTGATGCTATAGAAAGATTTATTGGTACCATGACAAAGTGTGAAGAAGGAGAATTCGGCTTCTTAGTGTTCTAAAATTTATTTGTATAAATTGCACTTTTCTAATTAAGCTTAATTTGAATTTTAATACATAGTATTTTTATGAAAAGTAGTTTTAATTAAAACAAGGCTTGATCCGTATTTGAAATTAGTGCTCTCAGAGTTTCTATAAGAATACTATTATAAATTTTTTTGCATAGTATTTGTATTTATTTAACTAAATTTTTTTACTAATTAAATATAATTTGAACTTTAATAAAAGTTGTAGAGATGGTTTATGATTTTAATAGTAGTAAAATTATACCAGTATATATCAAAATATTAGTAAAAAGCCTTTGTGACTATAAAAATTTTAAAGAAATTTTATAGTCATAAAGACTTTTATAAATTTATTTCGAGTTACAAGCAACTCTCTTTATAGTGAAGTGATCGGGTTAAGAGATTTTCTTCACTGTATCGAGAGTCTATTAGTAAATTCATTATATCAAGATGTTTTTTATACAAACTGTTTCTTACTATAATAAGAGATTCACTATAACAAGAATGACTTACAATTTATTGTATTAAAAGCTCAATTAATATTTACTAGGGATGTTATCCTGCTTAAATCGGTTAGTTCGTGCTTTGAAACCCGAACTAACACTGTTCGGAAACAGAAACAAATGCTGAATTTTAAACTTTGCTTTAAACTTGTTTGTAT